GGTTTGTTTAATAAAAAAAAAGTTTTTCTTTGAGAAACTCCCAATTCCAAAAACAATTAATTATATCTTTATTTTTAAATAAATTTGTGTTATATATAAACATATATATTATTAAACTTGAACATATATATAACCATTAAAATAAACTTGGACTAAACATAAACTTAACTTAAAAGTTCAATATTGAACTTTATTTATAAAAATGTTCGAGTTCAGTTTAATATTAAACTGTACATAACCAAAGTTCAGTTCAGGTTAATAGAAACACTAAAAAGACTCACAAGTAAGCAAATTTTAAAAATTTTACTTCATTCCTAAAATGCTATATTATATCAAGAGTGATGATGTATATTAAAGTATTCCAAATTAAAAATATAAAAATATCTATAAATTTGGTAAAAATGTTTTAAATATTGTATAAAAGTTAATAAAAAATATTTAAAAAAAATAATATAATTTTTATTTAATTGCATTAATAAAAAAAAAAAAGTATAATAATTAGAGCTTTTGATTATCCTATTTAAATAATTTACATGGTTTGTTTTTTTTTTCTATTTTTATTCACGTATTTTCTTCTTCTGATCCTTTTTCTTTATTATTCATCTCATCCAATGCTTTAATAATAATGCGATTAAGATTTTTATCATTTATTTCTAAATTCTTTCTGTCAGAAATTTTATGAACAACGCCCCAATATTTGATTTCATTAATTCCTATATAATTTATATAATATTAATTAGCAATACTATTTTCCAAGTACCCAGAATCTAATCGGCAAAAATCTAAAGTTATATATTTGACGTTTGTCTATAAATCAACTTTTGAATGGCCTATGCACTTTTTACTTATATTAATCAGTCTATTAAACAGTTCATGAAAATTTTATAACCTTTTGTGGTTTTCAAAATGACTGTATCCATAAATATTCAAGAAAATAAATATTATAAAATAGCTTTAAAAAACAATCTTACCAAATAAAAATACATAAAAGCCTGCTGCACTTCCGTAATAAGCAAAAATAACTCCAGCAATGCTTAAAATCTAATAATTTATTATGATTATCAGTATTTTCAAACTGTAGATTTTTTTAAAAAAAAATCCTCAAAAAGATTGATACTTACACTATTGTTCCTATGTATTAAATTTTATTTGTATAGCATATACAATGAGTTTAAATAAAATGCTATTGAATAGATTACTCAATACACTTTACCTTTGTTCTCTCTCTTCTTTTATAACAAAACTTCCTGGAGAAATTTGCAACTTAGTAATATTTTGACTAGTAGGATTTTGATCAAGGTACATCTCTATTATTATTATTAGTAATGACATAATTTGAAATGTTACGCCATATAGTAAAACATGCATAAATATGTGTCATTAGATTAAAATATCATACATACGAATTTTTGATTCAACAAACA